GCAGATCGTGGTCTATGTAATTTAGTTTGCTAATCGCCCAACTAATTTTCTTAAAGTACATTTTACAATCTTTTATCGGTGACTTTATGTAGCATTGATGTTTTTCCTCGCCTTCTCAGTACCCGGTAATGTTCCGCGGTGAGACGAAGGCCAACCCAGAGAAGCTGGAGAAGCTGCACGAAGCCCTGGGCTGGCTCGACGGGTACCTGGACGGCCATGAATGGGCTGTTGGCAACAGCGTCACCGTCGCCGACTTCGTCCTGGTCTCCACCGTGTCCACTTTCGAGGCAGCTGGAATCGATCTGAGCAAGCACAAGAACGTGACGGCGTGGCTGGCGCGCTGCAAGGCCAACATGGCCGGTTACGAGGAGATGAACGCCAAGGGCGCGGAGGACTTCGGCAAGATGGCCAGGGAGAAGCTGGGAAGCAGCTGAACGCGTGAAAGATCTTCCCGCTGCGATAACTTTCGTCATTAATCTGTTGATACAATAAATATAACTTTTATATGTCACGTGAAATAAAATATTAAAACTCCCTTTGCGTTCATTTCCCTCTTGGATCGGACAGGAGTAAAGATTATAATCCGTTAAAGTACGAGCTGCGGTAAGGATAAACTGATTGGAAAATGTTCACATGAACAATATTGTCAAATCTTAGAAATACTACTTGACATTTTCTCCCAGCATTACATGCGACTTATTTTCCTAAACATACCTGGCTATAACAGGTATTCCATATGCAAAACAGAAAAAAAGGTTATAACATCCTAGGAGTGTCGATAAATTGTCGGTTGATGCGAAAGAGGTACGAATTTAAATTTTGCATATTTTATATTGCAGGATTAGGAGCTGACTAAAAAGACTTCGTAATAAACGAACAATGAGCCGTAGTATAACTGCTTCGTTCTATCCCTTATCATTCTGGCAATAGATATGACGTTGGGTAAAATATACTTGAAGCAGATCGATCGGTTCCTGGGCGGCGGGAATGGGCTTCTTGAGGTGAGCACACAATTCCCTCGCCCATGTCAAACTCGCCTTTCAAACGGGTGAATCAGAACGTAATTTGATTATTTTCCCACATTCCGGTGTGTATGCATGATAGTATTAAATATTTATTTGAATCTTTATTTGAAATTTCTACGATCAGTGAAATCGAGTGGCCCAAGAACGATAGATCCCCTACCATAATAGGAGTCCTTTCGGAGCACACAGACGAAGGGGTAACTAGTCTGGAAAAAACAATTACCTATGTGTATGTATTGGTAAAGGCAAATTGTTTTTTAGATTAAATATTTAGTTTGTATACAATCTCGTTTCCTCTCGTAAATGAACAGACTTCGCTGTTGTAATTATATGTTTTTATATCTTACATAGCCAAAAATACTTGCACTGGTTCACTAATATATATTTTTTTTAAATGTGAAGAACAGTCCGTAAACGGTTACATTGCTTTTAATAATTACTTTTAAAGATATTTCTCTGCGCCCCCCCCCCTCCACCAACCCCTTGCTCGTGTTGCCGTGGGGGCTCAGGGGGTGGAGACTGAGGCCCAGTGTAGGGATCACCCTGCCTTGGCCCTCAGCCCTCGCCTCAACTAATTTTACAGGGTCTTTTCTTCTCTTTCCATTTATTTCTCTTATTCATCCCTTTCTTCTGTCCACTTATCCAAATCGTTAACTCATACGTATCTTTTTCGCCACAATACTTTATCACGATGCTGTGCAACTTTTGATGTCTGGCACATTTGTTTGTTTTGACTATTGGCCATTCCACAAGCATTGCCTTTCCTGCCTCCAAGCCTCACCCCATCGCTATATTTTGTATACGCCGCCATTGCCCTTAGATGTTGACGCGACAGAAATAAATAAATAGTTCAATAAATAAATAAGATACTAATGACCACTGTTTGATGCGGCAGGTAGTTTTAGGGTTATCCATTTTTTTCATCATTAAAAAAAAAAAAAACTTTTCCAAAGACCCCTCCAGAGTGTACCGAGCAAAATGATGAAAATGATGGCTGCCACTGGATCTCCAATTTGATCTGGATCGTCGTTTATAATACAGATTAACTGCCCTCTCCTAGCGTACGGTTTGTACGCCTATGATAATGAAAAAAAAGAATGACCTCTCAATCAAAAAATCTTTTGATCCAAGTTATAATATCACCATAACAAGGCATGTTTGATAATGCGGAAATCTTAAAATGGTATTCCGGCCACAATGGGATTATTAAGTAACAGGACAAGTACCTCTTGGAAATAGCGCTCCCAGGAAAATGCCTATGGCTAATGGTGTGTATGTGATACTGATTTCTTTTTGTAAGAGGATATATTAACCACTGAGGTGACCGACAGATTGGATAAACTCTATGGGTGTGAGAATCCACGTTTGGGATAAGGTAGCGAGGAATCACATTTTATTCAGGTGAGTAGTATATTACAGCAGAATTGTGATAAACATGAATTAAGTAATTGGGAAAAGCTGTACAAAATTATCAC